TGGACCTGCCCTGGGGTCCATGCAGGGAATGAACCCTGGAGAGCCACTATAAGCACAAGGAAAGAGCCTTACACCCGTGTGGATCTGCTTAGGTGGAGCACTGAACCCCACATCCTGCCCACCTCCAGCTGCCACACAGTGGCCACAAGACCAAAAAAAAAAAAAAAAAAAGGGCAACTCTTGGGTAACCCAACTGCCCACTCTCTTTAGGAACAGACATCTCTGTCCTGTGGTGGAAAGCAGCACCAGGCCCTAGACCTGCTCCCCCATGGCCCTAGCCTGGCTGATTCCCGAGGCAGCTGCCTGCCTCCCTCACCTTCCATCATCTCCCCSCCGAAAACCACGGCCTTGGAGTTGGAGATGGTGATGCAGTGCAGCAGGGCCTCCATGCGCAGGTGGGAGTTCACCAGGGCGGTCTCCACGCCGATCTTGGCCAAGCCAAGCCACAGCCCTACGTACTGGTTGCGGGACTCCATGAACAGAGCYACCACGTCACCAGAGCGGAAGCCTTGTCCATGGAAGAAATTGGCCACCCGGTTGGAGTACTCATCCAGCTGCCGGAAGGTCCAGCTCTCGCCCGTGCCTTGGAAGATCAGTGCTGTCTTCTCTGCGTACTTGCTTGCTGTCTTCTGGAAGATCTTGGCAATGGTGTTTCTCTCCCTCACGTGCCTCCATACCTGCAGCTTCACCCGCAGCAGGACCAGCCCCGTGCTGCCAAAGGAAGGGGAGCAAGAAGGCAGCAGCTCAGTGGCCCTGCAGAGCCACTTCTAGCAGCAGCACAAGGACCTTGTTAGGCGCTGCAAGAGTCCAGCCTGCTCCAGGCCTTGCTCYAGGTCAGCAGCAGCTCTGGGTGCTCCCCTGAACAGTGTGGACCCAGCTGGGGTAGACAAGCCCTCCGTAAGTATATTTACAGCCAGGAAGGGATGAGCTTTGAGGGGCTGCACACAGGGGCTGCTCCCTTTCCAGAGCCTCAGGTGYTCTCCAAGAGGTGCCATCCTCCCTCCCCGGGCACACCCTGGCACTGGCTCTGGGCCAGCCCTGCCACACTGTCATACCCGCAGTTTAAGGGACAGGGTGAAGTACAAGGACAGTCACTAGACTTTAGAGCTCAGCTCAAATGTGTCTTTCCTAAGAAATCTTTTGCCCGAAGGTTGGAGCCACCTGGGCTTGACAGGAGGAGACCTCCTTCCAGATGGGCCAGGAGCCAGTGGTGACCCAGGGAGATGCGGGCTGCACTCACAGCCCGAGGCAGGGTTCCCTCCCAGCCAGGACACCTACGTGACATCTCTCCGTATCGTCTTTAAGAATATGAAGAGGAATTTCCATCCCCCGGATCCCAGGTAGAAGACAAAGACAGCAGGAATGGCCTGGGCCCAGGACAGCCCCAGGCTGACCCTGAAGAACAGCAGCAGCGCCGCGAGGGCGGCCAGACGCAGCATCGTGGCCTGCAGAGAGAGAAACCACAGATCGTGACCGCTCATGCTGAGCCTGTTGTGACAAACGCACGGGGCAGGGGACACACTGGCAGCCCCCGATTTCCTGGGAAAGGCCTTGGCGCCACCGTTCAACCTCACATGAAGATTTGGCTCTGCAGGCCGTACCAAGGCCCTCTAGAGCAGCCGGAGCACGGTCAGGACGAGGGGGGCCTGTGCAGATGTTTAGAAGGCACCAGGGAGATACCAAACAGGGCAAGCTCAGCTGCCTCATCCCATCCCAGGAAAATACAGCTCCAAACTCCTTACCCCAAGGATCTCTGTGCCCCTCAACCCAGTTCTCCCAGGCCCTCAGCAGCATCCACTCTCCTGTGGCCTGGCTCCAGGATGGCCACCACGGCTGGCTGCAGAGCTCAGCTTCACAACACAGGTCCAACAGGAACAGGGACAGGAAACTCAGGCCTTTGAGCTCTGCTCATGTTTGTAAACTCTCTGTCCGAGGGCAGCTTCCTGGCTTGGCTCTGCCGGAGATGCTGCCAGAGCAGATCCAGGGTGGTGAGGCCAGACACAGCAGTGTCCTCGCTGYAGATTCCTGCCCGGGGACAGGAGGCAAAACGGGGCGTCTTGGCTGCTAGGAGCCCCCAGGCCTCATCTCGTGCCACAGGCCAGCAGCTCACCCTGATGCTCCTGCCCCCTGACAAGCAGCATTTCTGTCCCCATCCTAAGCACACCCCAGAAGTGGCTCCAAGGCTCTTTTCAGGTAGCAGCACCAAGTAAATGAAAAGCAACAGTGGCAGGACTGGAGCCAAGGCAGCAGCAAGGCACGCAAGGTGCCTCGTATCCAAGCCTTGATACAGGGACAAGGAAGCCTCTAGGCATGCACAAGAAACCTTGGACGCTGCTCCCAGGTGTGAGGCCTGGGGACACCCCTCAATCCACAGCCCCACTCATGTCTGTGGCCTCCAAGCTCTCTCCACTGCAGAGCTCCCTAGCTGCAGGTCCGTAGGCCACAGGGTCCTTGGCCTTTTACCAAAGCGGGACCCCCTGCTTATTCACTCTACATGCTCCTTCTGCAGTTCAACAGGGCAGCTCTGGGACCCCACCAACCTCCCCGGTTTCAGACCAGAACTGAGCCCTTCACGACAAGCTTCACATTGGACAGGCGGCCACGGAAGGACATTTAAACCCCTGCTTGGAGGGACAGGCCCCTGGTCCCCGCCAGCCAAGCAGGCGGGAGCCGGGACACCCACACCAGCGGGGCTGGAGGTGCTGCCGTTAAGGATTCAGGTCTTGTTCAGCTGCATCAGCACAGGGACAACGAAGGCCTGGAGCTCTGCAGGCAGCTGCTACGGTGGCAACCGCAGGGATTCATCACCTGGGCAGAGACGAAACCCGAGGAGGGCCGGGGAAAGGGATCAGCCTGGGGAAGGCACACGAGGAGCTCWGGGGACCTGCAGCTGCAGCACCCATCTCCAGCACTAATGGCTGGAGAGGCTCGGAGGGCTCCAGGGCCTCCCTGGAGGCAATTCCTGGAAAGGAGAGCATTTCCTCAACGCTTCCAGGGGCATTCAAGGCCCACGAGGAACCGCGACCCCACCATTGGGATGGGGCCCTGCTCCTACACCAGCTCCTGCCTGTGTCCCCTGCTCACCCCCAAGCCTGGATGCAAGAGGCAGCGCAGGAGCTGGGACCCCCGCGGACTTTGTCACCAGCAAGCGCAAGGACGAGGCCTATGTGGCCACCGTGGAGATGCCCGGGGAGGTCCCCGAGCAGGGACAGCTCCAGCGCCCGCAGCTCGGCTGGAGGCAGCAAAGGAGCCAGAGCTCGCACAGGGGAGGCACCCGGCTCCACTGGCCCTCGGGAAAGGGCCGGAAAAAGCCTGGGAAGGTGGCGGCGGGATGAAACGCAGCGCACGGCCAGAGCCCCGGGCAAGGCCAGTGTTGAGGCGGGGAACACGAGGCCACATCCCGGGGCGACCCCAACCCCCAAAGGCCGAGCTCAGGGGGGCGACACCGCGACCACCGCCCACCCGAGAGCGACGCGGGGGAGAAGGAGAGGGTAAAGCCGCCTCCCTACCGGGCTCCGTGGCGCTCCGCTGCGGCCCGGCCACCTGCGCCGGAGCGGGAGCGGCGCCGGGGCGGGAGCGGGTCCGCCCGCCGCTGCGGCACGGGGGGAGGGCGGAGCGGGCCGCGCCGCCCGCCGGGAGCTGTAGTCCCTGCCCGGCGCCGCCGCCTCGGCGAGGGCGAGGTCGCCTCAGCGGCGGGAAGAAGCGGCGCGAAACTGCGGCGGCTCTGTGGCGCAATGGATAGCGCATTGGACTTCTAGCGCCGGCTCGGGAGCCATTCAAAGGTTGTGGGTTCGAGTCCCACCAGAGTCGTATTTTACGAAAATCGCCTCCCTGCCCCAGGCGGTGGTTTTAATGCAGCGCTGGGGGGAGGAAAGCCCCACAGCCCGTCTTGTTTTTCTCATTTTTTTCCCCTCAAAATGTGCTGTTTTAAGGGAGGGGATGTGGCCTGGATATGCACCAGGGCGATCTGCACCAGATGTGGCCTGGATATTGCAGGATGTGGTTGTTCCAGGCCTGGAAGTGAAACCTTGGGTTTGCTCGATGGCGCTGAAGATTTTCTGGCAGAAACTCTGCTGTTTGGGAAGAAAAAAATCAGCATTTACTTGTGTAGATGCAGAACGCAACCAGTGCCACGTTCCCGAGCAAGCTGTCCGCGGGGCACAGGAAGCCGAGCTCGCTTCTCACCCCATCATCACCCCCCGAAACAACCTTTGCTGGTGCCTGACCCAGTGCCAGTCCCTCGGTGGCACCTTGACTTCCAGATATGTGATTGTGCTGAGCACACGAGGTTTCAACTGATAACGTGACACCTTTGCACAGCGCCCGGCCCCACCGGCCCCGCGCGTGGTACACAAGGTGCTGCATGCGCCAAATAAACCCGGGCGGCCACAGAACCCCCTGCTTCGTGACCGCCACTCCTTGGTTTCCCTCTCTCATAGCTGAAAAACACACGTATTTCCTAAACTATGAGAAATAACCTTAGAATTGCGCTGTTTGTTAGCAAGGAGCACAGGCTGCTTTGCAAGATGGTGCAAACAGGGTTGGTCACGCTCCCTCTCGCTCGCCCTGTGCCAGACGGAGATCCTGGTGGGAAGAGGCTGCTGCATCATCCYGTGTCACACGCTCTGCCCTGGTAACCCCAGACCTTGTTTGGGGTGGCCCAGAGCTGCCACCCGCTGCTCCGTCACCCTCCTCCTGGCTGTGGCCACYGACAAAGGCCAAGGGGCCGGCTGAGCAAAACAGGGAGGGGGTTTCACGTCACATCTCCCAGTGAAAGGGAGGGAATAAAGGGGGAGGGATAAAGAACCACAAGCGCCACTGTGAATTTTATTACCCGAAAAGGCATTTCAGCACAGCAGAGACCCACCTGCCCCACAGCTCTGTCCTACCTCGTGCCAGCGCTGCGCCCCAGCCCGTGGCACCCTGGACACCTGGTTAATTAACCGAGACAGCAACCAGCTCTCGGACACAGCCCAGCGGGAGCGGCACGAGCGGCCCCAGCTCTGCCCTCAAAGATTCAGCCCCTCATTCCCAATCACATTGTTTGGCAGCCCAAAGGAGGAGGAGGATTTGACTGAAAACTTGGTGCAATCGTGCAGATTTGGGCCCTTTGTTGGGGGGGCTCTGCAGGTCTCCAGCAGAGAGGGCACCCAGGGATGTTGCTCTGCCTGCTGGCAGCGAGAAAAGGGAAGTCGGGCAGAACCATTCGGCCGGGCACACGCTGTCCTGCAGCGCCCACAGCCTCTGTGTGCGCCAGGACACCAGGTCACTGTGTACGAGGGGCTCCCTGAGTGTCTCTGCGAGTCACCTCTGCGGGCACGGGCGCTCTCCAGGGCCCGGGGCACCCACATTGTCCAGCAGGTTGGACGGACAACAGCATCGGCCCTTCCTGCTGCGGGCACCAAAGCTTCCCYGCCCACCCCCGTGCCTGGGTGCAGCCCCGGAGCCCAAGGCTTGGAGCAGCCCACGCGGCCCAAGGGGACCCGGTGGGACCGGCCGCCTCTCCGCTCGCTCATGGGCGGCAGCAGGGGTCAGTTCTGCCCGGGTACAGGGAGGTGCAACGCAGCACCCATCAACAGCAGGGGAACCTGAAGCTGTGGGGACCATGGAGGTGGGTGGCAGAGCCCTGTAGCAGCGGGGGGGACGCGCTGGGGCCCCCGTCCCCTCCGCGATCTCAGGCTCTCACACACGCACGGCCGGCGGAGGGAAGATGCCGATCTCCTCGCGCAGGGAGGCCACCGGCTGCTCCCAGCGCTGCTCGTAGTAGATGTTGAGGACACAGTTGGCATTGCGCCCRCTCCGAACCGCCCAGGGAATCAGCTCTGTAGCCAGGACCTGCAACTTCCTGCAACAAGAAGCGCAGAAAGGGTTTGATTTGAGTTTCCGAGTCCTGATCCGGGCCAGACACCAACCCCTCACGCCCACAGCCCCTCCAGCCTTCACCCCTCCAGCGACCCTGCTGCTCATCTCCCGGGGACACTGAGTGCAGCGGAGGCAGCGGGTTGGCAAGGTCACAGTRAGAAGCCAACCCAAGGCCAGCACACGGGCCAGGAAGCGGGTGAAGCAGGTGAAGGATCCCGTCCTGCCTCCATCTCATGCTTCAGCACCCAGGTGAAGTCTCCCAAAACCGCTGCTTCCCTGRGCGCAAGTGCCAGAGCAGCAGGCACAGGTCAGGGACCAGGTTCTGTTCCYCACAGGACACTGCAAAGCGTCCCCAAGGCTGGAACATCCCCCCTGGCAGACCCCACCGGTGCCTACCGTGCGCTGAGATGAATGGGGCCGAAGGCTGCGCCCAGGACGCACATGGGCAGCCCTGTCTGGACGGCCTCGAACCACTTGACCACGACCTCCCCTGTGGGGACAGGACACGGGGACGCGCTCAGACGGAGACACGCTCAACGGGCCCCCTCGCAAGGACGCTGCACATCTGCCCCCCATGTGTACACAGCRGGATTCGGGAGCGCAGCCCGGCCCCAGGCCTGGCCCTGCTCTGCTCCCGAGGCAGGGCAGGACTCATGAGGCATCAGCCACCTCTGAAAGGATGCCCCAGGCCCTGGGGGAGCAGCAGTGAGCAGCCAAAGCCCCAGCGCCCTCGCTGGGCAAGCCTGGCTCCTCCAAACCCTTAGCCAAGCTCCCCACCAGCCCTGTCCTCCCACACGGCTCTCCCCACCTCCGAGTTGGGAAAGACCTTTTCCAAACACTGCCACATCGCAGCCCCAGCCTGCGGAGAGACCAGAAATGCTGGTTCCTCCGGGCGCCGCAGCAAAGCTCAGCTGGGACTTGCTCCCGACTCCCCCGCCCAAGGAGAGCAAAGGGCACCGTGATGAGCAGATAAGAAACGACCAGGAACCCCCCCAACCACAGCCCTGCCTTTGCTCCGAGCTTGCACAACGGCCCAGCCTGGTGCCACCCTCGCTGCCGGGCGCAGGCACCGTCCCACGCAGCGCCCGCGTGTGCCCTGGGCGGGTGGCACCTCTCCAAGCAGGGCAAGGGTGACGCAGGGCGGGTGTCCAAGGCCTGTGGGCTCCGGGCCGCCAGCGATGCAGAGCGGTGACGATACCGACGTCACCACCTGCGGTTACGTCACCCCCCTGGGCTGAGGGGCAGGGTGTCCAACCTGCCTGGCCCGTTTGGGGTCCAGGAGAGGTGGCCAAGGACCAACCTTGGGTTCATCCAGCGCGTTGGCACATTGGTGGGTGCTCACCCAGAAGTGGGTGCTCACCCAGCACGTTGGTGGGTGCTCACTCACCTAGCATGTTGGTGGGCATACCCAGCAGGGTGTGCATCAGGTCGTGGACTTCCCGGTACCTCTGGATCACATAGGCCAACTCTTCATCATCAACAAACTTGGCTGGCATTCGCGTGTCCGGAGACACCTTCTGCAAAGTCCAAGAGGCTCCGGTCAGGCATTTCTGCCTGGGTTGGCATCGCAATGAAACCCAAGGCCCACCCAACACAGCATGGGTGACATATCCATGGTCATCCAGGACCCAGCACCGCAGCCCAGCCTCCCGAGTTCCACTTCATCAACCCTGTTCCTTTTCTGGGGGCTCCCTACAGGTTCCTCCACGACTCCCTCTGATCCCACCGGGATCAACTACGGTCATTTGTGCACAGCAAACACCCCCACTCACATTGTCCTCCAGGAACCGCAGGTATTCCCGGCCCAAGGTGCCCTCCGGCAGCCCCCGCAGCCCCTCCACGTCCAGGGTGGCGAGACGGATGCGAGGCCGCTCCCTGAAAGCAAAGAACAAGTCACTAAGGGCCTCCCACCAGGGAAACACTCCCAACTGGGTGACCTGGAGAAAAAGCAGCTGCTAGAAATCACCATTCCCTGCTCTGCCTTTCCTGGGCATTTTCCCTGCATGGATCCAGGCCGATCCCAGCAGGAATGGCACCGTCTTCATTTCTACTGCCGGCAGTAGGGCATCAAATGCTGAAAGCARCTGCCTGACGCCCTGGCAAGAGCAGAGCTCTCATCTTGCTCCCCTCCAGCAATTCCAGCAGGAAGAGCATCCATCTTTTACGCACAGTGACCCTGAAAGGCTGCCCTGCTGGCTGGCAAACAGCCACCACTGCCCGCAGCAGCAGCGGGGCCCAGGGCAGCAGGAGCTTCATCGCCCCTCCAAAGCGGCCACAACTTCAAAGGAACAGCTCTGAGGAGGGAGGGAATTTGTTCGGAATTTTTCTCCTGCCTGGGTTTTCATCAGGAGCCACGTGGCAGCCGTGCACAGACTGCTCCCCTGCCCAGGCTGTTGGCAAACAAAGGCGCCTTCATTTCTGCCCACAGAGGAAATTCTCCTCCTGGACCCCTCCTTGCAGCGGGTCAGGGAGCCGCTCAGCCAGTGGGGAGCGGGGCTGGCAGGAGCTTTACTCCGGCTGCAGGCACTTGGCTATGTCACAAGGACCTCAGCAATTTAGAGGATGACAAAGGAAGCCAAACGAGAGGTGGGTGTTCACAGATTGGACCTCTCCAAACCCCCGGGACACCAGCGCTGCCCGGGAGAAGCRGGAATCTCCCTTTGCCTCAGTGCTCCCTGAGCGGCTCTTCGGGGGCTCAGCCCCTCTCCTGGTGCTCTGTGAGCCCTGCTGGGTCAGTGCCGGGAGACGCAGGCAGGATCGGGATCCTGCACAAACACGTAAGAAAAGGAGCCTCTCCACCAGCTGCTTCATGGTGCAGCTGGAGCCAAGCGCACGGCGGGCAGCAAGCGGAGCACGCAGCGGAGAGAGGGCAAGGAAATAAGGAGCGAGATGATCTTGGTTAATAGAAGGCTCGCGAGGTCCTTCCCGGTCGCCTGCCTTGCGCCGCTCAACAGTTCCCTGCAGCCACATGAGCAAAGGGATCAAACTTAACAAGAACACAAGTGCTCTTATTTCATAGCCTTAGGAGGTGCCATGGGGCCTAGAAAGAAAGGGCAGAGGTGTCCAGAGGAAAGCAGAGCAGCAGGTGATGAAGTCCTCAATGCAAGGTGATGCAGCAGCAGACAYAGGGGAGAAAAAAAACCACCATGGACAAGGGTTTTATCAGATCTGAGAGAGAAGTGCCCCCCAGTTACAGCAGGACAGACACTAGTGCCTGAAACAGGCCCGGGTTCCTGCAGCTCTTGGGGCAACAGCACAAACTTCTTGTGATGCTTAAAATAAAGCAAAATAAACAAGCTGGAGGATTAAAACTAGCAAAATGCCTGTGTCCCTCGWAGGACAGGGAGAGCAGGACTCTGCCTTGGCAGGGCCCAAGGTAGGTGCTGGGCAGGTGCCTCAGTCCCCACCACAAACCACGGGTGCGGAGGGACGCACTGGAGGATACGGGAGCCTTCAGGGTCGTTTCTCATCTTGTCTCGCAGGTTCGGCAGGACCAGGCAACCCGTCGTCTCCCCCAGGACTGCCACCATGTCTGAAAGAGAGCGCAGGCAGTGACTCAAGGGCAGCAGACACGCTGATTTCCACAACCCGCTGCTGTCCTCATCTGACTGGTGAGGAAACGAGGAGTCACTTTGGCCAGGACCACGCAGGAAGCTGGCGGCAGAGACAAGGGCTCGGGGTTAACACGGCCGTGGACTGTCCACGTGAGGGTTACGCTGCTCCGTGGGACACGGGAGGAGGCGCGTCCAGGCCTGGCAGAACAAGGAGCGGGATGCAGCCTGTTGCCATCACATGCTCRCCATGAGAGTTTTTATGGGGTGCGGGGGAATCTCTCACCCCTCTCTTCCCCAGCCTCCTGCCCTGCATTTTCCCCATTAGCAAACGCCTCCCTCAAGAGAAGSAGAAACAAAATCCCTCAAGAAGCTCCCGGCAGCGACACAGGCAGCAGTGTAGGAGGATCCCGGGCGGCAGAGAAGCCACCAGGGCCGCGCTCACCGTGTCTGTAGGGGTCACGGAGGGCGGCGAGCGCGGAGCCGGCGGCCAGCAGCGCTTTCTGCAGCGGGCTGGCGCGGATGTGCCCGGGGTAGAGGC